AGTCGCATTTCTGCCGCACTTAATTGAATTGAATTCGACACGGCAGAAATGCAACGTATGAACCGGGCCTTAGGTGATCTTGTCTTGCGTATCAGTCAAGGTTACCACTGTAGCTTTGACATTTGAAGTCAGTTTATAACCCTTTTCATTTTGCTTTCTCGAAAGAGTTCCCGTAGTCCGGACGCCACGGAACGCCCGAAATCTCCCAACAAGGAAAAAGTCCTGAAACGCAACATGATTCAAAAAACAAAAGAAACATTTGTTAAGCCCAAGACTATCATTCGAAGACAAGTCAACCAGCCTCATCACGTCATAAAGACCAAATGGATTGAGCCAACAGAAACTATTGCTTTACAAAATCTTATGCGAAGATTCCCCAGTGCTTTGAAAGAAATTAACAAACGTCTTGTCTCACAGAATTTATTGTGGGTTACGCTAAACAACCGGCGCCATCACGCCGTGAATAACTAAGCATCAAAAGAAACACTTATTTTGAACACATTTTACTATCACTTAAGTAACTACTGCTTAATACCAACAAGTCGAAAGATAACGAACGTGATTCAGCATACCATTTGAGAAATAAAACTCTTTTATACCCTTATTGGAGTAAGGCAGTATCCAATTTACCCTGTAATGAACAAGTTCTATTATTCTTTTAGGCCCCCGCTAAACCAGTATGCATTGCGCACCGACCAGCTTGGTCTTGGCCTCTCATGCCCGGTTGCCATGGACTTTCTAAAAGTCCTTTTCAATAATTCACGTCGCTCGAGATTACCCTCTCGCTTCGAGCGAGGGAGATGAATAAGCGATGGATTAAGCAAAAGTCGACTTGTGGCAAGTCTAGGTTGCCACCGCGTTGTTTAAAGATATTTTTCCCCAGGTAATAACATTCAACCTCATTCCCCTCATTCTCTTCTTTCCTCCCCCCTGGAGAGGGGCTGGAGAGGATGCCGGAGAGGGGGTGGGCAGAAGAGAGACCCTGGGAACGAGGTTGGATAACAACTTGAGCACACAGCTCTAACGGCAAAACGGTTTCAAGGGACTTCAACATAGTCGTGGCAAACAGATCACAAGCAATATTCATTCAATATGCAATACGTGTTGAAAAAACAAAAACTCATAATATACAACGTGGTTATTTTTTTTTGACCTCCATTCGTACGTTTTTGATATTTTTTTCTTAATTTCTTTCATCAATCGTTCAACTCCTTATAGCATTTGTACGACACGTGCATGGTTCAGCTTCACTAAGCTTCGCTGTCATGGCCCATCTGTGACGTTTTCTGGATCACTAAGGACGTTTGATAACGTAACGTCTGACTCGTACCCAGTTTATCCGGTTGGAAAAATAGGCGATCTAACCGAGGGCGTCTGGAGCGAGATCACGTTGCGCAGCGCGAGGAAAGTTCTGGGTATTGCCTGATTTCAAACCGAAAAGGACTGGGTACGATTCTTAAATCAGGGGATTAGCAATTATTGACCCACATAGTCATAAAGTGCAGACCAAGCTTTACAAAATCCCCAAGTTTGTTGTAAATAGACCCAATAGTAATTTTTCTTAACTTAGTACAAATAAGCACATAATGGCCATTTAAATGGCCAAAAATATCTGATATTTCTTAACCCCCAACTCTATCAGTAAATTTGCTGCATACAAAAATTCAAACAACGAATAAATGCATTAAACTCGTATATTATTTTCTAGCATTTATGGGTTTCTACTCAAATAACGGTTGCATATAAAGAAACCTGACTCATTGTATTATTATCTGAAATGTTACAAGGGAAACAATATTAAGTCACACGTGAGTGAATATCATATTTACTCGAAAATCTGAATACGGTTGTTACTGAAGTCAGTCACAACTATCCTACCGTCACTGAGAACTGCTGTAGAGAGTGGGACATTAAACTCTCCTATCCCGCTGCCTCTTGTTCCAAACTTTGCAACAAAATTTCCACTAAGTTCAAAGACCTGAACCCTGTGATTCCTTAGATCACAGACCATCAGGTGTCCAGCCTTGTTAACTGAAACGCAACGAGGTTTATTGAACTCGCCGTCTCCCTCCCCCTTTTTTCCAAATTTGTACAAAAATTTTCCATCTCTATCAAACACTTTAAGACAATGTTTATCACTGTCTGACACGATAAGATAGTTTTCATATTGGACACAGTGAAAGGGAAAGGTAAAAGAACCCTCTTCGCCAATTTTGTGTAACAACTGGCCATCTGGATGAAATATCTTAATTAGTTTATTAAATCTGTCAGCGACAATAATATTTCCATCGCTATCTATAGATAAACCATGGGGAGACTTCAACTCATGATCAAGATTTCCACGACTACTAAACGTGTTTAGGTGCTCACCCTGCTCACTGAAGCACTGGACACGGTTGTTATTACAGTCTGCCACCATAATATTATCATTCTTGTCAAAGCCTATCCCACAAGGAAAATTAAATTCTCCATTTTTATCACCCTTTCTACCAAACGATCTTAAGTATGTCCCACCACTATTAAATAATTGAACCCTGTTGTTNCATAGTCGGAGTTTTTGAGCCAATCAGAGAGCTAGAAATGCAATAGTCGGAGCTGAGAATATACTAAGGGTTGATAGTGTCTCTTCGCGGCTGAACACTATCGCGACACGTGATCAATTTAAACCAATACGAATCGGAGAAAATTTAGGGGTGAACTATAAAATGGTATAGTGGTTCTGAGGGGACAGCGGCATATACCCAATAAAAATTGTAGCCGCATCCCGGGTTACTAGAGAATCGAGTCGCTTTTTATTTGCAAATCAATGCCAGTAAATAGTGGTAGTGATCGTTACTGCTATTTCCATTGTTATGTTTTGTTAAACTACCACTGTTCAGTATTTTAAAACTGATTTATAGGTACCCTATACTTTAACAAAATGTACTGTAAATACCAGGCTTCACTATAACGACGCTGATCGGCATTTAGGGACTTTGTGCGGAGGGAGCTGCGAACGCACTCGGTGCACATTCCCTAACTACAGGCCTGAGCTAGCACGCGTGTAAAACTAATAATTAATTTCAAGCTCAATAATGAAACGAGCTCAAGTATTCACCCAAAAATGTAGAAAGGCTACAACATATTGTGAAACCTAATCGGGGCTGTACTCAGGGCATTATGAATTCTATGAAATCAATCACGTAGATTGGCAGTTAAATAAAACAATCGCCCTTTAAACTTCCCCTGTTTACATGCATAAAGTATCACGACAAATATGGGAAAATATTGAAACAGTTTATTGACATTTCTTCACCTAACAGTTTTTATCTTACAAGAGAAGCGCGTATCTACTTTTACCCGCTGGTACATTGTCACACCCATTATTAGTCTTGTTAATGTCACACAACATACACTACTGATTGTTTCAGTGTACAACAAATTCCAAATTAAAATGTTCTTTGTTAAGGACGCATCTTCTAAACTTAGGTGAACCTACAAATTACACCGCTAAGTCAGTTTTGAGATAAGTAATCTAAACTAGCTATAGCAATGATAGATATTGGCAACTAAGATCAGACAATCTACCACTAATAAGGAAATATAATGGTTTAAAACACTTGAAATTTAAATTTTAAACAAAGTGAGTTTTCCGTCTTTTCTCCTCGAAACAAAACATATGTTACACTCGAAACGGAAAATAGATGAGTAGCTACTTGAAAGGTAACTTTTCAGCTATTTCTATTCTGTGAGTTTTCTAATATGTAACCAATTCAACTACAGACTACCAGTGACAAATGGTTTAAAATCATGTATTTCACTAATAGCAATGAGAGAACCGATTCATATTACATGGCAAGTGAGTGGATATATCTATTCAAAAATCTGGATGCGATGGTTGTGGTAGTCAGTCACTACTATCCTACCATCACTAAGAACTGCTGTAGCGAGTGGGCCAACAAACTCTCCTATCCCGCTCCCTCTTATTCCAAATGTTTTTACAAACTTTCCACTCAGTTCAAACACCTGAACTCTATGATTTGCTGAATCACAAACCATCAGTTGTCCTGCCTTGTTAACTAACAAGCAACGAGGACTACTGAACTCCCCGTCCCCCTCCCCCTTCTTTCCAACCTTATACAGGAAATTCCCATCCCTATCTAATACATCGATACAGTGTTTATCCTTGTCTGATACTATAAGATGGTTGTCATATTGCACACAGTGATAAGGAAAGGTGAAAAAACCCTCTCCGCCAATTTTACATAAAAACCGACCACTGGGAAAAAAGATCTTGATTAGTTTGTTATTTGAATCAGCAACAATATAATTTCCGTCACTGTCTATGGATAAACCAAAAGGATCCTTGAGCTGGTGATCTAGATTTCCCTTTCCACCAAACTGGTTCAGGAACTCACCCTGCTCACTAAAAACTTGCACTCGGTGATTATCACTGTCTACCAGTATAATGTGGTCATTGTTATCAAAAGCTATCCCAACAGGATAGTTAAATTCTCCCTGTTTATCACCCTTTCTACCAAACGATCTTAGGTAAGTTCCATCACTACTAAATATTTGAATTCTGTTATTACCTTCATCAGTCACTGCAATTTCATCACTTTTATTCACTGCCACTCCCCGTGGACCGTTAAACATTCCAGCAGCTGACCCTCGTTGCCCAAACGATAGCACGGGTCTAAACTGTCTGGGTTTAACTTCAACAACGAAAGGGCTGCCATAAACGTGATCTTCATTTACCTTCACTGACAAGTCACGTTTTTCAGTTTCTTTAGCGAAGTAACTGATCTTGTAGCTGCCATCTTTGTTATCTTGGACTCGCACTTTCGTCACACAATCCTCTCCCTGATGATTTTTGATTCCCACTGTTATGGAGTCACGCGCTTCATAACATTGTTCTCCTTCAGCATTTCTTGTTGTCAAAACAAACTGTGCTTCAAGNATTTTTCTAATTTTTGTGATCGAGTAGGGAGGCATAACTTACACAAGGAGTATTTTGGCAAATCATACATTTGGTTAAAATGCACAAGTCTTGTTAATCAATAGAAAGGATATATGAATATTTGTTCCATTATTTTAATAATTTATAGAAACCTCTTATAATTTTGGCAATTGTTCTTTAACTTTGAATCTAGTCAATAAAAGAATGGTTAAACTACGGCCCGATCATGGCTACTTGTCACACTTGAGTTCGGGCAAAAGATAAACTGGAGGCTTCGCGTCACGCGTCTTGATTTCGAGACGAAAAACGTGGCTGTTTTGCTTCTATTGTTGACCCATGTCTAAAACATTTTCCGCTTTCATGAATGTTAATTCGAAATTTTCTCCTGGCTTAGTGTTCGTATTTAAAGAAGAAACAATATAAAGGAACAGTTTGACGATTAAATTATACCATTAATTATTGCCCAAAATGCCCATCTTCATAGCAGGCCATGGTCCTTTTATCGCTGTTTCAATACCACAGTTTCAGGTAGAACAATCTTGTTTTCATGTGAATTTAACTTTTTTCCCATGACTCGTTCAGAAACAGAGATACAACACAACTTGGAACTCGCCTCTTATCACCAAGCATCAAATAATCAAACCCACAAAGTTTGGATATCAAACTCTTACAATTTATTCACAATTTTCCACCTCTACAAGCTTACATGACACTGGTAACTATGGTGTCACGAAATTGCTAACGTCCTAGAAAATAGATCACTAGGTGTTTATTTCCAAAGGTCAACGATAAAATGCTTGCTACGAAAACTTACTAACTTGTTTACAAAAGTATTTAAAATTATTTACTTGCTGACATTTAGGGTCTGAATGAGGCCAGTAAACTCAGATAGCTGACAACTGGTCAAAACTGTCACTATCAGCTAGGAAATAACGCTTTCATGGACTATTGGCTGCGATTCAAGATCAACAAATTTACTGATAGCTGATAAATGAGCTGAAAATTTTCCTGGCTGCTGAGAAATCACCAAAATTTATATTGATAAACTGAGATTACATCATCTCTTTCCAGACCCTCTGATGCTGAATACCATTTGAAACGTTAAGTTCCATCTTTCATCGACTTAACTTTCTGACAAGTATTATAAACTGTTATTAGATATAAAATTTAACGGTTTTTTTTACTTCAAAAGGGTGTGGCAAATGTATTTCTTCAAAATAGACAATTCCGTTCTACGATTGTTGATTCAACCCATTTTCCTTCATAAAAGGCGAACTTTCAAGGCTTCGACAGAAAGAGTCTTAAAAGCTAAATCAAAGAAACACTGACCTCTTAAGTAAGTCTGAGTAAATATATTTCGATAAAAACTTACAATCCTTAGAATGGCTGAATCACAGAATCAGAGGCGTGACTTGCTATTACACAAGGCTATACTTGATGAAAACCGAGTCAATTGCTCAATCATAAAATTGCTGATAATCCAAGAATGCGCTAGAGTGGAGAATAAAGCACACACTCTTCTTTTCGATTTAACGCAGATCATACAACTCACAACTAACGAATGGCACTAAATTTCTAACTGAAACAATGACAAAGCGTGTCGTAAAACAATTAAGAAATCATCTCATATTTTTTAGCAGCTGATTTAATTTCATCATTGCATGATTTCAAACCGTTAAGGACTAGGTACGAGTCTGTAAATTAGGGGATTAGCAATTACTGATCCACATAGTCATAAAGTGCAGACCAAGTTTGGTGTAAAGAGACCCAATAGTAAGCAAGATACAGCCATTTGAAAATGTCAAAATTAACAAAGAAATGTATGGCCATCCGAACTCTACTCCGGATGACCAAACATTTCTTTGTTAATTTTGACGTTTTTAAATAGCTGTATCTCAGTCAAAACTAGCCTGATTAACACCAAACTTAGGGATTTTGTAAATCTCGATGTGCTCTTTCTGACTATGTGGATCAAAAGTTGCTTATACCATAATTTACAGACCCGTACCTAGTCCTTTTCGGTTTGAAATCAGGCAGTGTGGATTTACTCGAAGACCTGAATGCGGTGGTTACCGAATTCAGACACGGCTATTCTACCATCGCTAAGGACTGCTGTAGAGAGTGGTTGATCAAAGTTTCCTATCCTGCTCCCTTTTGTTCCAAATTTTGTGGTAAAATTTCCACTCAGTTCAAACACCTGAACTCTGTAATTAAACGTATCACAGACCATCAGGTGTCCTGCCTTGTTAACTGACAAGCAACGAGGTTTATTAAACTCCCCGTCTCCCTCCCCCTTCTTTCCAAATTTGTACAACAAATCTCCCTCCCTAGAAAACACTTTAATTGAATTTTCTTCGCTATCTGATACTATAAGAAAGTTGTCATACTGGACGCAGTGCCAGGGTCTTTTGAAAGTTCCCTCCCCGCCAATTCTACGTAAAAACTGGCCACTAGGAGAAAATATCTTAATTACTTTGTTACCTGAATCAGTGACAATAACATTCCCGTCACTGTCTACAGATAAACCACGGGGATACTGAAGCTGGTGATCAAGAGTTCCTTGTTTACCAAACTGGTTCAGGAACTCACCCCGCTCACTGAACAATTGAACACGGTGGTTAACACTGTCCACCACTAAAATATTCCCATTCTTTATATCAAAAGCTATCCCGCAAGGAAAATCAAATTCTCCCTGTTTATCACCCTTTGTACCAAACGATCTTAAGTAAGTTCCATCACTACTGAACAGCTGGACTCTGTTGTTACCTTTATCAGTCACTGCAATTTCATTCCTTTCATTCACTGCCACTCCCCAAGGGGTCTGTAGATTTCCAGCAGCCGAGCCTTCTTTTCCAAACGACAGCACGGGTCTGAACTGTCTGGGTTTGATCTGAACTGCAAAAGGGCTGCCATGAACGTGATCCTCATTTACTTTTACTGATACAACGCATTTTCCAGTTTCTTTGGCAAAGTAACTTATCTTGTAGCTGCCATCTTTGTTATCCTGGACTCGCGGTTCGGTCGCACAGTCCTCTCCTTGCTGATTTCTGAGTTCAACTGTTACACAGTCACGCTCGTAATGACATTGTTTTCCTTCAGTATTTCTTGTTGTCAAAACAAACTGTGCTTCAAGTCCGACGACAGCNGATCAATAGTTGCTTATCCCATAATTTACAGACTCGTACCTAGTCCTTTTCGGCTTGAAATCAGGCAATGAACGCAATCTTGCCAGCTGGTCGTCTATATATATTTCCTCGCGGACCCACTGGACACAGGTCAGCGGTAGTACGCATCATTCACTTCGTTTCACAACTTCGTGGGGGAAAACTTAAGGGAGAGTCGATTTCTAGTCAGATACTATGTCGTGAACGAGAAAACAAATTATCCAGTGGTTTTATTTGTAGCGATGAACTTCAACAGGTGTTTTAAACAATCGCCATGCCATGATTCTTGTCAACAGCGGTTTCAGAGATACCGCTCCATTTACGTTCATTTCATCAGTAAGGACACCGTCTTAGCCGGAATGATCCCTCACGGAACTCGAAAAGAGACAGAATAAACTGATAGTTGTTCACAACAAATGATTTCAAACACAGATCAGCAACAACTACCAACAAGCATCTCCAACAGCTAGCCCATATCACGGCTTGTTGTCAAAATTCACCAACTTTTTAAAGTAAGGTTTTCCACACCAGATTCTGTGAGTGAATCTTTCTGTTGATTTCTTCCAGAGCTTTAGAGAGCCTGCGCAGTTCTTCAGGTGAGACTGCTTTATCATTGCTGGGTTGTACGTAAGAGTACGTCATTGTAGACGACTTACGGTCTCCTTTACTTGCAGAATACAGGCCTTTGACTCTGGGCTGAAACATCCTTTTCCTTGAGACTTCTGTTAACCCGCGAGCAGATGGCTCCTTCACAACCTGTAAATCGGTAATCAATCAGTCAATAAGGTAAGCAAGCAGGTTTTTCGAGAAACGCCCGTGTACACGCTAAAACTATTTTGATAATAGGCTTCCTTGGCTAATCTGATTTCCTTATTTACTATATTGCGTTGGTTTTTAAAAAGTGTCCAGTCTCTTGGATCATTAGATTTACTTGCTTTAATTTTTAGAATATCTCGATCATGCATTCGTTTCTTAGGCTCAAATGTAATCCATGGGGGCCCACGCGTCCGAACACGTATTGTTCCCAATGGAGCATGCTTGTTACAGTAGATAGAAACGAGCATTTCCATTGTAGCCACATTTCATTGGGATTAGTTGAAGTGTATATCTGATCCCGACATTGAGACGCAATATCGTTTCGAAAATTTATTCGATAGAATTTTCGAAAGTTCCTATAGGTACAAGGAGTACAACTACATCAAGGAGTACATCATGGAGTACAGAACTTCGCTGCTCGCATAGTTTCCGGGACGAGGAAGTTTGATCACGTAACGCCAGCCCTGAAAAACCTGAGATGGATACCAGTTAAGTTCCACCTGTATCTAAGAGACGCCATCTTGGCATTTAAATCTATGACAGGTCAAGTACCAAACCACCTCAGTTCAAATTTTATATCCAGAGAGAACATTAGCGGTCGGACAACCAGATCATCTACCCAGCTTACTTAATATACCGCTTTTTAAAACGAAGTCGGGACAGAGATCTTTGTATTACAGAACTGTAACTTTGTGGAATGCTTTGAAACCCCATTTAAAATCAAGNTCAGTCAGTCAGTCAGTCAGTCAGTCAGTCAGTCAGTCACGTAATCAGACGGCGGTCGGTCGCTCAGCTTAAACTTTCCTTGGATGGGTTGCTCAGCTCTTCCCTAGCGTTTGTCAGGTTTCTCCATCGGTGTGCCGGTACACATTGATGCTCTGGAGTCTCCCGGGTAAAGAGAGAAGGGTAAGAGTAAAGTGTCTGTGCCGAGGTACACAACACTAACTTGCCGGGATTTAAGCTGCAATTTTCCATCCGGAGACCACCCAGGTGAAACTAACTACAAGTCCACCGCGCCAACCGTACCCAGCATGAATCACGAAAAGTAGTATTTACAAAAATATATAGACAAAATAGTTTCTTTTCTCTCGAGTTATCTAAATTTACCTCCTTATTCGATCCTTTGTTGTCCTCGTCCCGCACGTTATTGTTTTGGTCCGTAGGCGTCACCTCGTTTACAAATGGCGTATTTTCCTTTGACAAGGCTTTCATTCGTTTGCTTTCCAGTCGCCAGTACAACTCGGCGCGATATTCTAAAAAAAGGAATAAAAAAAGGAATAAAAAAAAGGAATAAACCCTAAAATTATGTATTAACGTAATTCCAGCTGGACTAGGACATTTATCATGCAAGAGATGATGGAATCCTTACTATTTAGCCAAAAAAATTCGGAAATTTCGGTTGAAAGTCAAATGGAGCAGTTGAAATTTTCCGGGAAAACCGTTCGGAAATTGTAGACTACCTCCAGAGGTGGTCCTCTATTTCCGTTCGGATCGGAACGGTGCAAATTTCCTTACCATTTCGAACATTTTCCAGTTTCCAATCTCTAATCAGTCGAAGGCAATAACGCCGAGAAATCGAATTGCAAATGGTATTAGCGCCATCTCGTTCGGTTGGTTTGCTGATTTTGGATAATTCCTTACCATTATTAACCGGTCATCCCAACAGATTTATTCTGACAAGTGGTAGGCACCCGATGTTTACCTGAAAATCTCTTCCCTGCAATTTGTCTGACGTCTTCGAACACGTGACCACACTGACATGACTTGCTTGATCTGGGAACCTGTTGGTTGGTGGAGGAGAGACTGGAGTGAAAACACAAATCGCAAGCATCCAAACTATACGGGCTAAGCGCTTACTCCAATTTTCCGCCGGGAGACGAGGGTTTGTATGAGTTTTCTTCATTGATTTAAAAGCTCTTTGCACTTTTAAACTGTAGCTAATGGGGTGTGTGAAAATTAGGTTAATTAGACACAGTACCACGAGATTTGTTCTAATTAACCAGCTTCTCTAATGGATTTTTACCGCGATGACCTCCTGGGTCACGTCTGAAATAATTACTGCGCCTTTCAATAACATGCGGACTCTAAAATTCAAAGCTCAACTGACAAATGCGTTTTTCGCGACCGTCAATTAAATGTTTGGCGGCTCCTCCCAGCTTCCGACTACTGCCGAGCGCGCGGTAATGAAATCGTTGAGCACAGTTCAGACAACGAAACAGTGCCCGACAGTAGTCGGAAGCTGGGAGGAGCTGCCGAACATTTGATTGACGGTAGCGAAAAACGCATTTGTCGGTTGAGCTCTGAATTTTAGAGTCCGCATGTTATTGAAAGGCACAGTAATTTGACGAAATTAAAAACTCCTCGTGGCGGAGAGACTTAAAAATGATTAAGCCCGGTCCTCACTTGCGACACAAGCATAAACATAATAATAAGTGTTCATCTTATGCATATGCTGATATCGGTATTGTGTTCAGTGAGGACATGGTTGGTATGAGCATAAAATGTTGGCTCATTGGCTCAAGTCTTTCACCCATGCTTATGCTTATGCCAACATGTAAGCATAAGAAAAACTTCAAGGTTTTGATATTCTTATACTTATGCTTTTGTCGCGGCCGTCCTCACTGGCGCATAAGCTGATCCGTGTGAACGAACTTGGACAAGGGTTTTTTTTTAGTGCCTCTTATAATGCGTTTCAGTATAAAGCCGGGGCGCAAGACAGATTCTACCACTTTTCCTTTTTATTATCTTGTTAATAGCCCTTAGACCTATCAATATTTCTCAATATGAGTACCATGAGTACAATATGAGTATAATACGAGTACCGTGACAGACAATCAGTATAAAAAAATGACCGTTTTTATACTTGAGGGGCATAATCCGTCTAATCCTAACTCTAAGTGGCATAATCCGTACAGGCAGATTTTGCGTCTGCTGTTATATCAAGATGCGTCTTGTGTCAAAACGGGATCAGCTATCAAACGCACTAAACCTTCAGTTCGTCGTTCAAAATCACGTACAAAATCAGATAGTTCGTCTTGACGAATCATCCATGTACTGTCCAACTTTTTTATTCTGACACGCATAACCATACGGGGGCATAGTTTTTCTGTCTGATGCTCTTCTTTGCTCAAGGAGGGAAATTATCCGGTGTAGACAAGTTCGTCTCCTAGGCCCCGTCCATGCTACGCCGGAGAAATCTGAAAACGGCGTTTTTACGCATCGAGGGTGTTCCGTTCACACTATGCCGGAGAAATTTCAAAACGCAGTAATCACTGGTCATTTTGGATTTGTGCGGGAGGAAACTCGAGCAGGGAAATCCCGTGATTATCGTGAAGTCCTCGTTTTCGAAAAGCTCCATTTTCAAAATGTTCCCGTCCACACTAAAACGTACAGCCCGCGTTTTCATCTTCTCCGGTTTGAAGAGCCTTTTCGAAAAGATTCGTTTTCGTGACAGTTTAGTGTGAACGGTAGGCCTAACCGTAGAAATAAAGCTTCGTTCTCAATTTCTCTCATGTAGTGTGGACGGGGCGTTAGTTCGTCTTTCAGGACGTGCTATAGAAGCAGATAGTTCATCTTGAAGTGCAATCAACGGCTTACTATCCATCAATTTCTTCAGTCGCAAGTGTGTTAAATTCCGAACCAATTCTCGCTCGCAGTCCCTCGCCTACAAGCACGCGCTTCAGTTTTGTTTTCCAGTCTTTATTCTTGAGGACTTTGGATAATTCGCCCTAGTTTATATGACAAGTCAGTGATTTCGGAGTGAAGTCAACTGGAATAATGTTTTCTTCGGCCTGGAACCAAGGTACAACCGCTATCATAGTTACTGATCACGTTAATTGAACTGCGAGCACTAAACACTGAAGGTCCAGGCATGATGTTCTAATGAAATGAGGAAACGGACAGAAGAATCGTCACGATTTCTAAGAATAAACCACAATAACTAAGATCTTGTCTCGGGCTAAACAAATTAGCATTCGGTTTCTTGGATACTTACGTAGGAAGGCGAAAAAACTGATTCATTTCTTGTCTTAACTCATTCAGTTTCTCAGATGAAGAGCAACTCAAGCTTACCTTTAATAATTAAGGATGTAATTCCCTTGATGTTCATTCACTTTTGCAGTAAAAGTATGACGTAACCATCGAAGATATTTGAAGGATAAACTAAACAAGATATCAGAACCTTCAGCTTCGACAAACAGCCACGAATCGTAACTTTATTGGAGTATCTTCTTCCGACATCACTTAAGTCATAACCTCTCTTAAGCGCGGCCAACTTTTAGACTAAATATAGACTCGGAGTCCACGCGCGACAGCTGTCCGCTTTACTTTCTAGCACGCGTCTTTGCTTCTACAGTTTCGGCGCGTTTAATCCGTAAAAACAGCATAAATTACATTGCCCAATATTCATGAATCCGTGCTTGTTAACCCTGTAATCTCAGTGGCAGAATCAATATCTTGCCAGCAAACGACAAATTTGTTACGCGCAGCACATGATGTACCTGTATAATGAATGCAATTTGTTGTTTTGTTGTAAAATCAAATGAAGTGAATAAAAAATTGGATGCGATGTCCGTAAGTTTCCGCGAAGAGCAAAATTGTAAGGCGCCGTCAAGTTGGCAGTTTTCGACAGACAAGCAGAAGCACATGTATTTAAAATCAGTCGACAGTGGAAAATTGTACATGTTAAACAGTATAAAACGATTTTCAAGACACGCTCTACTCACCACTGCGTTGCAAGCTAAACACTGTTGAACAGACATGGCAAGAATGTTCCCAACTCGACTGTGTTCGAAACCACCGTGTAGTTTCGTGAAAGTTCAACGTGTCGTTGGTGTTTCAAGTCGGCCGTGGTTTGACCCGAGTCTGTCTTTGCGTGGATCAGGCAGTAACACAACATATGACGTCACTGTATTGAAAACAACGCACGGATTTAGCACAATCCCTTAAAAAACATGTCAATGAAAATTCAAATGCAGATAGGTCAACTGCGCGAAATAATATGGCACATGATACGTGTCCGTTAAATAAGGGCCAACCAAGCAAGGCATTTTCTTTGGCAATAATTTCTTTTCAAACTTTGTTACTTCAAACCGAACATGAAGCTATGAAATTTAGTCAGTTTTAACGTCCATCTCACACTCACATCTAGACTAGATATTTTGTTGCCCTGGTAGCTCTAGTTGCTGTCACTGCCATGAAACCAAGTGAGCGCAACAACAGAAATTAAACAAAAGAGCTAGAATTGGAGATTGCTAGAATTCTTATGACCAAAAGATAAGATCTTTTGCCAAATGGTAACACTTTTAAACTTGTTAAAATTTCCCTTCCTACAGTAATAATCAGTTTTTTTTCCATATCGCACCAGGTGCCTTATTATATTTTCACGAAAAACCCCTCAGGCGTTTAGTAACGATAGGGGTTTATGGATAGCTCCAATATTATTTCACATTTCTGGTCAGCAGACATGTCTTTTATACTAGTCTAATTTAGTTCTTCTGGTCAATATTTTTTAACCTTGGCCTATACTTGACAATTTTCTCTACCTCGTCTGCCTGTCTGGCTATGAATCAGTACAAAAGAAAAGGTAAAATAACTTTTGGAAAGCAAGCGTAATTGCCGGGAAATTCGTGTTAAACCGACCTAAACTGAAACAAGTTGAACTATCCTATTCTAGATTGAAACGAACCCCGGCTTCCAGACCAGACTATTGAAATCTCTCGGGATCATGTTTTTCTTTGAGTTTTAGAAGAAACGTAAAACCTCTCTAATTAATTTATAATTATTCTATTAAGACAACGTAACTAACGTTTATTGCCACGTAACTCGGCTGACCGCAATACAGTACTTGGGCTATAATGATAGTCGATAAACTGGCAAACCTATAGTGCTGCTCAGAGGATGTTTGACAACTGATTCGACTCTATTGCCATCAGCGATTTACTTCAGCGGCCGAAGTAGTTCGTGATAACCTTGCGCATGTACGTTCTAAGTCCTTAATGTAACCTAGCTGCTTAGTAGAATTCTAGTGGAGTCGAAAGATCAGCTGTGAGCTGTGAGCTGATAATTAAACAAGTCCAGCACCTCAAAGAACTGAGCACAATGACAGCATCTGCCAAAGTGTAACAATATTACAAAATTCTTTCATAAAACTAGCCAACTATACCATAACATTTGTGGTTGTCTTACTTTGTCTAAAGGTCCTTTCGTTTCCAACCTACATACTGACACGCACGTGTGTTAAATTCAGCGTGGAAAAATTCTAATCTTTCTTGACCACAATGCTGAGTCTGACCTTCCCATTCCACGAAGTTTCGATCTCACATATCTTGGAATGTCAAGCACTCCGCTGCCATCATTTCTTGATTGTTAACATAACATTCCTCGTCATGGTGAAGATGCTTATTGTTTTATTTAAGCGTGACGTCACACCGCCAACGCCTGCCGCGATCGTGCATATTGCATTCCTCTGAAACCCTTGAATGATATAAATAGTAGGAAATCGTGACTGACATCGAAATACCAGTTTCTGAGGTGGCAAGGAAACCAGCTGAGACATGATACCACATCAGCAATGCCTTGCATGTAACACTTTGGTAAGTACAAACGCTGTACTAATATTTCGTTTAACGTACGAAGCAAATCTTTTAAAAGGCTTGAGTGTTGGGTTCATTTTGCTTTGATCTTCATTTAACTCGGTCTTTACATTCCAAATGTGCAATCATGAGATACCAACGCTCACTGTTCATTACCTCTGGACTTGAAGCTCAGTCACTGTTTTAACTAATGATTGGGAACGTCTTCAGCTGTCGTTTCTTTATCGCATTTTATCAAGATTTATTCAGCTGTGGTCAACAGCCAACATTTTATCTATTAGCAACGATAGAATAGTGAAGCGTTGTGATAACGTTTAAGGGAGTGAATGTGAAACCAGGTCAGCGCCTCATTGAGTTTGGTTCAGTTTCTTCTCTTTCCAAGTTCAGTGTTCTAACTTCAATCCAATAAAGAAGATTGAAAACCTTAGTATCTCTAAAACCAAACATAGATGAGTAGTATCTAAGAATGGCGTTTGTAATTTTAGACGGTTCTCCAAAATAAAACTCAAATACACTGATTTACAAGTAGTATGGTAATATCAGTTTGCAGAGTCTAATTGATGTGCGTTCAGGATATTTCTATGTGAGCTATTTGAAGCAATGTACTTACTCGCTCTCACGAATATAAAATCGTTCTTTTTGAACAAAAAACCCCTAGCTATTTCCAGATTTAGCTGACATTGCTTCAGCTAACAAACATGTTATCGCCCCGAATTCCAGATGACTACACCGTTAAAGTCCTGCGTATGTGGTCACGTGCTCGACGATACACGCCGTTTTGTTTGTGGAAAACGCTTTACAGGTAAAGTGCTTCTCGACAGTAGACTCACAGGCAATGGTCAACATCAGCTGTGTTATAGACGATGTTGCTATTACTAGTCGGGTAGATAGCAAAAAGGATCCGAGGAGGATCGCACGGTCGAAGAAGTTTTAATTTTTGGTGTCAGTTACATCTTTCGGCCTAAACTATTGGACCTTAGTAGTGGTTACTTACCAAGCAGTAGTGATCAAGTTGTTACTGATATTTCTGTAGCATGTAATGGCACTGAATTCAAACAGGAAGATGACGGAAATAAATAATCTAATAATCTCAGCGACTTGATCTAACGTTGCTTTGGACCTCACGTACAGGATCAGCGGAAGTGCTTGGAAAGTGATCAAAATGGTTGTTATGAGAGTTTTCAGTGTTCCTGAGTTCAAGTGAGGTTGATTTGACATTGTCTAAATCCTTGAAAATCGTCTCCTGTCCCTAAATCACTGATTCAGGATAACATTAATTTACCCAAATATACAAAACTTGAAATACAGTCATATCAAGTTTTCAAAGTTAACCAATCATAAACAATATCATAAAATCATAAAAGCCTGAGATAAATTTGTTTCTAAATTTACTTCTCCTTTCTGGTTGCTAGATTCTTACAACTGTCTGGTCCATTTATTCGTTGTATTTGGGTAGCTATTCTCCTAGGGATTTTTGGATAGGCTCAGTTAGATTTGTTGGCACATCAACTTCACCCCCAAAACAACCTCATAACTGAGATAGCTTAATTCGCCACACCCATTTTCTTCTATTTATAACCATTCATTTACGACATTCTTTCGTTTCCATCAGAATACCGCGCGAAGATGTATTCTCGATTGGAAAATAAAATTAAAGAATAACGAGGAAAGTGAGGGAAAACGGAAGTAGGAAAAACAGGCCGCCAGAATCATTTCAAGAAGGCAAGGTGAGATCAATGATGTACGTAATTCTATTGACAGACCGGAAGAGCAAGTAAACGTAAAATATGGCTCCACCCTTGTGCGCAATTGAACAAGGGATTAACCATTGTATTTCATTAGTTTACGCATCATTATTTAGTTGGAATGCTTTGTATGTATTTTGTATCGCTTCTTATGTACTGGGACACGAGGACTGAACAGAACTATGACCAGCTATACATTTGTATTAAAGGGTAAGATAGATAGAAAGAAGAGAGTGATAGTGATATGCTTGGATATGTTACACCTCACTGTAACACCAGGCCATTAGTAGCTAGGCAATCGTTTTCTTCGTTCATCTTGTGCAAAATTGTAAATTAGTCAAACGAAAAACCAAATATTTTTTCGTTTATAGAACCAATCAACAGACAAAAACAGCACGAGTACAAGTTTCAAGCCTATACGACAGCCAAACCACAAAAACAGAAGAAGACGAAGGAGATTTGCCCCTTTGCAGAAAAACCTGTCTTCCACCTCGACAGTGCAGCAACAAGGCAGCAAAAGCGTTAAAGTTCCATCTGAACTGTTATCAAGATTTCCCAGAGCGCTCCAGGAAATAAACTGAAGAATAATGGGACAGAACTTTATGTGGTTCTTGTTATCATGATTGGACTAGAGGGATACTCAAATGCAAGCGAATCCTGCAAAAGTCATAATTCGTAGCTTGTAATTAATCAACGAGGATCGTCTTGAAAGATAGTCTGAGGATTTCTCTGTTCACCCAAAGCCGTCTCTGAGGAGATGACGATAGAACGGGCTAACATTTCGAGGATATCCCTCGCTATTTTGTCATTGGACAGTAAGAGTTGAAAGCCCAAAATAGCATCTGTCTCGAAACAGGAAACTGTAGACTTTTTGTTGAAACTTAACTACAGGAAGCGAGAAACGCAATGGAACGTTTCTTTGGTATTATCAGGCTTGTCAGATTTACGAAGAGTTATGACTGAGCAATAGAATTGAATTAATCAACACTTTTGACTTTGATATAAATGATATGCGCTTCCTCTTAATTTGTTTCGGGCTCATTTTGCCACATTTATTCCCTTTAAAATTATTTACTCTCACACTGTAATTATATACGGCCAATAATGTCAATAATACTATATAAATATTACAGTTTCAGAATATTCAACTTCCTGCATCCTTTGGAAGACACTCAACTCAGTTGTTTACACATTTTAAGTCAAAACTGACATTATTATTCATTCAGCTTTGTTAGAAACTATAACAAATGACGCAGAAAGTTGATTTTTCTATCTTAGATGTAGATCAATTTTCCTAGTTTTGTTATCAATTTGACAATTAATCGGCCAAATTAAGTCATTTTCCCCGAAAAACCTGAAAACTAAAACTTAGCTCCATTTCTTGTTCATGGAAGCCTCTTTCCCCCTTTTCCCCCGTCATCATAGCATGCGTTTCCTGTTTGTAAACTGCCCGACGAGCATGTTTCGTTTTGCCATTGTGATGTTTTCTAAAGCCGAGTTTCAGTCCCCCGAAGTCTAAAATCTGCATAAATTTCAATGCATAATACACGACAATTTACTTCACCTCCGTGCGGCTTAGACATCCACACCAAATGGCATGCATGCAAACAAGCACCAAAATAAAATGTGCTGAAATAAAACTTCGCTCAGCGAAAAACTAATGGAAATAAAGCTTGTTTTAAAACTGATCATGCACCAGAAATGTGTTTACTGTTCAGTATAGCGGAAAAACTCAGCCGCTGTTGTTGAAACGCGATATGAAATATATAACCTACCACACTCCGCTTGGTTGCAGTTTGAGCGAAGCCCTCCAAACTCTCAATAATAGGATCCCTGGAAACCTTTAAAAATAATTCTGTCTCGCCGTATATAGATATATTTTCTGTCTTCTTTTTCGTTTTGTTTTGCCTTAGCTCCTTTTATCAAAACGCAGGTATTAGCAATCTGCTAAACATATTCGTCTTTTTGCGATTGGGTGCATCACAATGGGGCTATCCGGCGGATGCCTATTTTGGGATTGACGTCACACTGCGTTACCGTTTCAATATAAATTGACGCAGGCAACATCGAAATAAACCAACATCAACATCAAGCAAAGAAGTCGAGAGGAAAACTTCGTTATAATTAGTGAACTGGACACGAAATAAACTTCAGTCTGAGTCATGGTACTTCAACAGTGTCTCGCCTGTAATTTGTTGGTAAGTGAAACCAGTTTTGGTCAATCTCGATCAGACTTTGAACTACTTTCCATGATGAACACGGAATTTGTCGCATTAACTTGCCATTTCGCTGAACTGAAGGTACATCCGCGTCAATTTTGTTTCGCTGGACATAATAGAATGTAAAACTACATACTTTCGTATCAGTTTCCCAAAGGAAATTGGAAGGCACATCGTCTGTAGTATCAGACATTCTGCCGTTCACGGCTTTCGTGTTCATTTATGAACAACAAATCTGAGTGTATTTTGTTTCTTTTCAAGAGGCTGTCAAAAGGCATTTACAGGATTAAAGCCTTATGTTTCATTGAAGATCTACATCTAAAATACGAGCGGAAGAGCTCAGGATCATACCATAGAAGTGGCGATCAAAACGTTTTTATTCATTTTAAAGCGGCCTAGAATCAAAAACTATGCTGAGACAACCAGGATAGCTTAAACGTATTTCATTTATTGTTTATTTCAACTAACTTCATTTATAGAAAAAAAATAAGAATTTTGTGCTCTGTGGAAGTCAAACTTTAATTGTCAAGTGTAATAACCCACACGTCACGAAGGGCTTATTTAACTTAAAGATTTCCGAGTCCGTCGGTCGTCGTTGTAATCTGTGTCAATCATTTCCAGTCTTAACCAATATCGATCGTTGCTCAGTTTTTGACTTGTTATACTCTTAGACGTTCTTATACAATTGCAGTCTATTATTCTGGGGTCTTCTCCCAAAAAGAGAAATCTTCCAAAAAAGAAATGAATTCCGCGCATATAACTAGCGATTAGGTCGGTGACGTATCTTTCAGTTAGAATTCACCGTTCCTTCTTAATTCTTCGGTGTTTTATCCTTACCTTTTTAAACTCAGCACTTTTTTATAGTTTTGGATTACCTTCCTCTTGTAGGGAGGCCAGTCTCTATCGAAAATAACTATAAAAACTAATTGGAGGATTAACCTGCTTGGCGAATGATTCAATCTACAGATAGCAGAATTGTCAAGGTCGTGTGCGTGTGGTCACGTCCTCGAAGATGCGACTCGCTGTATTGACGGGAAACGATTTTCAGGTATTCAAATTTTATTATATAGTTATAAAACGCTCATTTTCCTCTCCCCCGCTTGAGATAAATATTTTTATGCCTGTTCTCAGAAAAATCGTGGACTATCTTTAAAACGGAACGAAAAACATGGCACGAAATTCAGGGTAAATACAATAATATCGTAATTCAAACAACAGATTTTCCTGATCAAATTTGAGCAGTACTCTTGATGTGGTGGTTAGATACAGTCACCCTTTAAGATTTTCTTACCCCAAATTTGCTGGTGAAATCGTTTTAATCAACTTCCGCCAAAAAATGTAGTGTATTATGATCAGTATGAAGTCAAAAAGACACTCTCGCTAAAATTTGATCTACAAATCTATTACCTGAAACATTTTTTTAGGTTTTTAGGGATCAAATTTATGGTTCTGTAATGAAGCACAGAATTTTTTTTCTACATCACACCGTTTCTCTTTTTTGCTTTTACTGAAATAGTGGATCGGAATTTACTGAGAAAAACGTATTTTAATAACATTTCAAAAAAAAAAAAAATTTACCACACACCGCAAACCGCAAAACACGTCCGCTGGTAAACCCCACTTGGCCCCGGGTCCCACTGATGCGTTTTTTATAAGTATCCGTTTTCGTCTCAACCAAAACGAAGCAAAATATTTTCGCCCACACTAGCGTTTTCGTTTTGATTTCACCTGTCCACACTAATGCGTTTTCTTTCGAAAACTGTGCAGACTTTACGATGCGTTTTGCCTATCGTCCACACTAGAACGCAGGAAAACGCAGCGTTTTCAAAAGTCTTCGTTTTCGCCTGTCCACACTAGAAACAATGCGTTTTCAAAGCAATCCACTTTTGAAAGCATTTTCGAAGGTCGTCATTTTCATCAAAGCTTCACGGAGCGTTTTAGTGTGGACGATGGGCGAAACGCATTGAATACTATGCGTTTTCAAGCGAAAACGCGTTAGTTTGGCCGGCCTGACCTCACTAGGCGTTTTTTTTCACTAGAATATCGCGCCATGTTGTATTCTCGTCTGGAAACCCAAAAGAAGAAGAGAGAGGAACGAAAATATAATCCACCGAGAGCAAAACGGCAAAAGACACATGAGGAACCCGAGGTAAATATTTCTAATACCGGCGGAAGCCGTTTATCGCTAAGACATAAACTCTCCGTACAGCTTTAAATTGCCCCTTTTTTTGGCACAGTTGTTCATTTGTCGCTAATCTATCAAAGTATGTTAGCGAGAAATTAGATTTCGGTTATGCTTTATTGGGTTGTCATATGGCTCTGTTTCCAGACAATTCGGGTATCAACCTTATATTCGTACACAACTGTTGCTTATTACTAGATCTCCTTAACAGAAGCAAAGGAAGCGCGCAAACTTAACACAGAAATAATCTTTGTTTGTTACTCGTCTAATTTCTTCAGGACCAAATGCAAGTAGTATCAGAGCGCACCAACTTTAAGCCGGTCAAGCGAGGAACGGTGGTGAAAAAAACATCAAATAGAAAAAACACACGGAAGTCATCGTGTACACTGAAACCACATCGTGCAATTGTCAAAAGTGTAACAGTTCCACCAGAACTGCTGTCAAGATTTCCCAGCGCACTCCAGGAAATAAACCGAAGAATAATGGGACAGAACTTCATGTGGTTAGGTTTACAATTAGAGTAGGAAAGGCTCAGAGCCGCTAGATGCCGTGACAAGAAATCCACGAAATGGAACTGGATAACCAATTCGAGAGAGTCTACATTTAAATTGGTATAGTTTCGGGTTGGTATCAGCTGGAGGCATCTTCCTGAATGCACCGTCTAGAGGAGGTGACAAATGGAAACTCCAAATTTTGCACAGTAAAGGAATACCGCAACGCTATTCAGCAGAATCTGTGAACCGTGACCATTTATAAATGGAAACGTCATAAAAGACTTCATAAATTATTAAGTTATTTTCATCTGAAACCGGAAATCTATAAGTATATTCCCGTGTGGTCGGGTTAGGTTCTTTCCCCGATTTAAGTTATTTCTAATATCAGAAATCCATAGCATCCCTTTAGTGTTAAAGCATGTTCCATCAGATTCGTAAATAGTTTATTTTTAAATAGCCTTCATCAGCGCAGGAAGAATGGATTGGATTATTTGCAGGTGATTTTAAGACCGGCGAGGAATAAACTATGAAAGGTTTGAAAATCAAATTCGCTGCTCAATATACTCAGGAAGAGAAAAAGCAATTGTAGAAAACATGTCAGTGAATTTTCGGTTGTCTCGCCAGTCGAACCGTAGCAGGAGCTGACCGTAGCGATTATTTTAGACTTTAATGATCCTCAGCGTTGCGTAATGGTCAAGAGCGCTGCATTTGTGATCCGGAGGTCCCGAGTTCAACTTCTCCTCCCTGCCACTAGATGAATTTGTGTTTGGTGGTCCCAGATTCAACTCCTCCGCATTTTGTAACCGTAGCTAACTGGTCAGCCTCCCACCAGTTGAGATTTTTAACAAGTTTCTGTTCAATTTAAAATATTTGTGTGCTTGTTTCAGTTCACTAGTGCTAAACACTTCGACACTTAATAAAATGATTTATTATTACTTTTTATTTATCATTTTATCTAGTACAGACTAGCAATGACTATTATAACGTGTGTCTGGAATGACAATGAATTCCTCCAGTACACGTTGCCACAAAACACGTATGCCCACTCTAGCAAGCTTAAGAGCTCTGTCATTCTCTGTCGTCACGGTTATTTTAAACGCAGTGCTAGCAACAAACTTAGCTAAACCTGGCTTGAGACATCGAAATAGGTTTAAATGTGGTGAAACTTACGACAGAAGGTGCCAGAGCTAATATATTTATACGTTTTCAAATTATATAGGGAGACAATCCAGCTTTTGCCACGTGTATTTTCTTCATGCTCAATAATCTCTTGCTCACACACTTACAATATTTGTTCTCTGCTTGTTTGTTGATGTTATTGTCTTGCATACTGGGCTGTTGCTATGCCGGACTGGTTGTATTCTAACTAGCTCGGTCCGACTTCTGAGTCTGCAAGGCCGCCAACTGGTTTTTTTCGCCTGTTGTTTCAGGTTTTCGGGAAATAACAGGTGCAAACTGTCTTCTTTTCCATGATACATGCCTATCTTCTCAATGTCTGTTTGCTGACACGGAATGGCGAACAGAGTTTAAATACGTAAGACTAGTTGCTTTATCGTTGTCACTGTTAAATGCACATCATTAATCGGAACTGAAGAGAATTGTACCGTCCTTAAAAAACTGTTAACTTGTACAGTATTATACAATAAAAGTATTCAATTGCCGTTCTAGTCAGTGTCGTAAGAGGATTATAAAAGATACCGCTAATAGGACCAGCTAAACGTTGTGATATTCAATCCGTAATCTGTTGTTATTTTTGTGTTCCCGTGACTAATTAAGTATACCTTTCTCAAAATGGATCACAAACACAGCCTGTTTCCGTTTTAGTGTGTTTCAGCTTTAATTTTGCTGAATGCGGTGAATATTGCGACAACCGCGGCAGAATTAAATGCCTTGAATGTTTACTGCAAGAGAAGACTCGAGAGAGTGTGATGAACATAGATTTGTTTCGTCATAATGCCGATCTTGACACGTCACGGTTGTCATGTGGCTCTTGCTATTTTTGAAACTGACGTCACACGTGGCTGGCCACAGCTATAAAGGTGCAAACACTGTCACAGAGGAGTGTCAGCGTTGCCAAGCAAAGGAGGCTTAAAACGAACACTGCAGCTGAAGAAGACGAAAAAAAGCGGAGTCATAATGGTGCTTCGACAGTGTCTTGCCTGCAATATACTGGTAGGTAACCATAAGAACTAGCTACCCGAAAGCTGCTCGAGAGCTGTAGTAAATGATTATTACGACTTGTTTCCGGCCGTCCATTACAAATTTATTCCAGTTACATAATGTTTTGAAATTTGAAATTCGCTCGCACGGCTGCGACCTGCTTTGTATGAAGCGTCCGGCATATTGCTTCGATTAAACACTGCCGCAGAAATTGCAGTTCAGTTCGCAAGATCGATCGATGCAGCTGATGCAGTGGTGATGAGACATTTCCGAGCTGAATCACACTCTGCTGTTTTCATAACGACAACTGAGTTTATCCATTTCATCAAAGTATTAGAATTAGATCGTGTGGTTCGCTGTGCAATAAAAGTAATTACGAATGCATGCAAATCTTCAAACTTTCCGTGCGGAAATTAAGGACACTGGTGTGTGACATCAATGCGATCAAAGGCATTTCTGTGAACTATGCGGAAGGGGTCTGCTATCGTTTCAAATGTCAGTCAGATTGCAGATCCTTGAATCTTGTACGATCTCGAGTAAAAGATTTGGTCTATCTCAGCAATATCCCTTTCTTTCTGAGGAAACTTTTCTTTTGAAATTTAAAGATTATTGAAGCGGGTAAAATTATAAAACTATTCGCTAGAAACTGCTTCAGTCAATTTCCGTTTGCGAAGAATCGGGCTTTCCAGGTCAAATGTTATTTAACCAGAAAATCAGCATTACAGGAAATAGATTATGTGTACCTTATCACTGAGGCCGAGTGTCGGAGATATACGTAGTGTCCGTCGAGTGCCAGTGAACTACAGTGGCCGATAATCTCAAATTATGAAAGTCTCAGGCATGAGCATAACTATCAAATTATCTCATTCACAGATTACAGAATCATCAAGATCATGCGTGTGTGGCCATGTGCTCGAAGATGCCAACCGATACATTGGTGGAAAACGTTTTTCAGGTACATTTAAATAGTGTTTACTTCATGTGATGTCCAAAGGAATCAAAATGTGAAACAAGTGAACTGTTCTAATGAATCATCGTCTTCGTTTTAATAGAATACCGTGCAAAGCTTTATTCTCGTCTGGAAAATAGAAGAGAGAAGAAAGAATTACGGGAAATCCGCGAGCGGGCGCGGCCGCTTCAAGAAAGGAAGGTAATTATTTTCTCTACCTATATAAGAGACAATGAGCTCTTAGAACTGCAAAACATGTACAGTGCTTTCCAGACTATGCTGATTTTACTCAGTGTATAGGAGTCACGTTTTAACATGTTAACCTCCGCCTTGCAAATTATAACTTTCGTGGAAGCCACATCTTATCTCTTCTCAAGCCACGAACTACTACTACTTATGGTCTCTACCTCGACTCGTTCAGTTATTTATGAGCAAAACTAGGTAGAATTCTCTTTCAAACAATTCGCGAACCTGCCCAGTTGTATGAGTTTAAGAATGAGATCCATAGCCTAGACAATCTTAGTGTCTGACAAAGTCGGAATTAGTCATAAGATAAAATTCATTATAGTTTTGGTAAGAGTACCTTGTGTTGTATATTTTGCTCGGAGACATAAGCTTAATGTATAACTACCTTAAATTTGTATTGAAATAAAATTCGTGTATCGTGGAAGGGACACAAGTCGCACAAGTTCCTATCGTAGTCTTGCTCTTCCCTTCTACGATCGTCTGAAGAAGCCGTCAACCTAAGATAGTTAAAACTTCCTGTTGACAGAAATTCGAAACTAGCGACCCTGGTTTTAAGCACCTGTGAGATCTTCCTCGAAACTGGACACGGAAGTTATTTATCTCTTAGTTCTCAGTGTTGTGAACACTGAACGAACAGAAGACCACAGACAATTTAGACTGAAGATGGTTAAAAAGCTAAGAACAAAGTTGCTAACAAGTATTTTTTTTTTCTCAAGAATCAAATTTCAGGAACAGATTCACGAAAGCTGAGTTTCAAACCCGAGAAACAACGATCAGCAGTGTCAAGAACGCCAAACAGAAGAAAAAGAAACAAAAAAATGCCTCGCTTGCGGGCAGGTCTGTCATCGACATCAACAAAGCAGCAAGCAGGCAAAAGCACGGTTCCACCAGAACTGCTGTCTAGATTTCCCAGCGCTCTGCAGGAAATCAACCGAAGAATAATGGGACAGAACTTTCTATGGTTAGCACTACAATTGGATTAACGTTTTTTTTGCAATACCGGAAGATAAACTCATACAGCAAGCATATTATCACGTGCAGCTGAGACCCGCTGCTATCAGAACAGGAAGAGTATTGCAAAGGCAATGAATGCCACACATGCCTTCGGAACAGGAAGTCATAACTGCAATCGAAAGCCGAACTAAGAGTTTTAAAATAGCTGAAAAATGTCTCTCGACATGTATTTGAATATTCAGCCGTCAAAGCAAGTGTACGACTTATAACTGTCTTTCAATCATCTGAGATGATATTTTTAGAGAAACCTCTTTACTGGTGTTCTTCACACTCAGTGTTGTAAGCTACAATCCCGGACAAAAATATTGGGACACCAAGCAAGTTGTTCCCCTCCCCCTACATAGAATGTAGAAAATTGGTTTTCTTTTCCCTTTTAGTTAAAAAAAACGCGACATTTTCCAACATTGATGAGGGGGATATGTGATCCAGCTTAAATGTTCGAACTACTTTTGTCTGGGATCCTAGGCTTAAAGGTCCATTGTCAACTGACCACCTTCAGCATAGTCGGGAAAATATTCAGTTGAGGAAGATGACTTTGGTCATAGCTCGTGACATTAGAGAGATTTCGGGGACATCATAGTTATGTTAAATTGTCTGTTCATAATTTATTTTAAAATAGAAAAGTTACGATAGTAATAATATATAACGCCGGCTAACAGGAGCCCAAGGTTTCTTTGAGCGAAAGTCAAGTGGATGACCGGAGGTACAGCCGTGTTTGACCACTACTCTAAGAAATCTCGGATGAGGAGTCTAGTTTTTTTAGCAGACACTAAAAAGGATTGCGGTCCAAAACCTACCAAGATTTCAGGTGTGTTTAAACGAGGAAAGAAACGGGATTATTCAGTCGTCTTGAAGGGTGTCTTATATAACAATTAGGCCACGCCGGAGTTTGAGGTTTTCATCGCGAGCGATAGCTTCAATGTACAAAGTATTACTAGATTAAACGGTTCACATCGAAAATTCTTTATTCCATACAAAATTCGCATACAAATTCAAATTGTTGACTAACTACTGGCAAAAAACGTTTACAAACTTAAACGAGATTTTCTTCTTATTTTGCTTTCTGTCAACAAGAACAGAAAAAAATTGATGTAACCCATTGAGCGATGTAACTATCTCTTCCGGGTATTAGATTCTTGATTGTAAAGACCGCTGATCAGGATACTGCAGAGCGCAGTGTGCAAAAGATTTGTTTCGGAGTGCTAAACCAACGTGTAAATACAGTTGTAAATCATATAAATACATAAATAACTAAACTAACAACCAGGCAATAAATTTCGTTGTTTGGTCTATTTTCGCAATCTCTCAGTTACTCGACCACATAACCGATAAGATGCGGTCCTTGGACCAAACTTTCTTCTCCAAATTATCACATGGTACATCAAAGAAGTTATTTCAAATAGCAAATATTTCGATACCTTACAAACCGTTCCCCGAAAAACTCCACCTGAATTCATTTAATTAAAAGCAGTAACTCATCAAATTTTCCGTTTATGTCGTTCAAAAACTTTGGCTATAGCAAAATATTTTATAAAACCCAAACATTACGCTGGATATGCAAGTATATATATTAGAATATAAACAGTTAAAAAAAAAAAAGTTCAAAAAATACCCCAATAAATTACATTCATTTTTCAGAAATTTGTTCAACCATTAATTTGACCCTTCTGGTCAGGTCTGAAATTGTATTTAACTTGATTTTCAAAATGTTCAGTGGAATATATACAACAAGAGCAATCGAACCTCGAGCGCTATCATATTGTATTTAAATAACATTTGACCTCGTTCGCGTCCAGTTTACCGAGGTAACAAAAAAACCAGAGGTATTGGGACTGAAAAGAACATTTAGTCACAGAAGCGTTACTGGTAAATTTTCTGATGATATTCTTGATCGTCAGTCACGACTTTACCAGTGGATGCCACTGAGCAATGGGTTTCCTGGGAGTTGTCATCATACAGTTCCAGTGATGCAAACCAATGCTTGTCTGGGCATCAGGTCCTACAATTGTCTTGCCAATAGTTCGGGTCTGAGGCCGCCTCCCATCTCCGTGGTATGTGTCGAGCACGCGCACTAGCAAGCTGACGTCACTTAGGCGATCGATTGGGACATCAAAGACGAACGCCTCGTTATAGACCGGAAGTAGGGTGTTTCTTGCTACAGAGGTCTTCGTTTTTTTCATTTGCCGACCGGCCAGCATCAGGGAGACTTTGACAAATGGACCTTCAGGGATTTAAAAGAATAATAGATTAAACGCCAGTCACTTTCATCTGCATTACAATACGGACACTATATATTAACAGAAAGTCACCAATGTGAACTGGTAATGCGACAGGAAAAATAGAACACCCACCTGTAACAGACTTAGTGTAACCCAGCCTGGATGGCATCCCCCCGCCACACACACACACACACATTCACACTCCCCGTCTAGGTGGGTTGTAATATTTAGAAGTTTCCGAGATATTTAGAAAATAGAGATATTTTGAGAATGTAAGGATATCTAGAAATACTCAGAGCTTTTCTATGGCTGAGCCCTGTGTTTTCCTCGCTATTTTCTTGCACCAATACTCAGTTCTAAGCCTGAACAATCCATTTCAGCAATCCCACGTGCAAAATATCTCCCATATCACTAAAAGCAATAAAGCAGCAATCATCCAAAATGGCGGACGCTGGTAACCAATGGTAACATCGATGCGCCTGAATCCTTTCCTTTACCCTTATTATTGCAAGAAAAATTGGAAAATTTTGAAATATTTGGCTTAAGGTTATTCAAAATCGGTTTATTTTTTAAACAAAACTGAAATATTGAGGGGTTTTCTAGATATTTTCTAAATTTTTGTGATATTTAATTTTTTTGAGGATTTCCGGAAAGATATTTACTAGACATTTATATAAATAGAGGGGTACACGTGTCTCATGATCGAGGTTTTGGGTCGCTGAAAAATGTCCTAGATACGGAGGAAAAACGCTTAATTTATACACTTCTATTGTTATAATGGCCGATTTCGGCCGGGTCTTCAATGTTGTTCAACGTCCTTTCATGGTTCAACCGTAGAACCATTTTAGCTGGCCTGGTAACGTTTTCAACATCCAGGCTTCGCCAGGTTTGTTATATGTTACAGAGGATAGGGATCGTTGGCTATGCCCCATGCTCTTGCTAGGATCAGTTTACATACATGTAAGCATACACATGCATTATCTTTCAGACATTCGTTTGTTTCAGATATTCGCACACACGTTTCACAACTTTCATGTTCTTAATTTAGTGACACGAATTTAATTACTTGTGCGTCTTACAAATTGTATTGGTAGCCTTACAAATGTAAGAGAGCATGTTGTTTCCATAGGGATTTAAGTTCAGGGTAAATATTGACATGTGATAAAGGTAACCTGCGAAAAACAACCCGTCCTTAGATTGACACAAAAACGGTTTAATTTTAGAACGCCCTCGGTTGGTTGAAAACGGGGTTTTAAAATGACTATTTTTTCCTTTTTTTTTCCATAGAAAAGCTTAATTTCCATAAAGATTAATCAGTTCTTTCAAAAATTACTCTTTAAATTGAAAATAGACAAGGCTTCTCTTGTTACGAAGTACGAGATAATTTGTCGAGTCAGTAAAAACTTCAATATTGAAAGACAGACAGTTTGTTGTTATTCCAGCTGAAAGATGGATTTTGGCCAAGAAACCCATTAAAAGTTAAAAAGTAAATATGCTTCGCTTAAAAAATAATACTGCGAACCTTAACAGATTTTAGTCCTTAAAATGGATTTCTCTGAAAAAGTATCTTTTCTTTTTCTGTTATTCACAGCTGGATAAGAGTTGTGGATAGGCGTTTTAATGATCAGCGGTTGAGCACAATGGCAGCTGCATGTGATCATTGTTACATGTGCAGTGAAGTGAACTGCAGTCTCATTTGAATTGGAAATTGAAATTGTCCACGAGTGAGGACCAAAATAAAACAAAAACACCTAACACAACATCTAAATGTGCTTGACACCTGAGTCGAAACTGAAATGTACTCGAGCGTGACACGATGCAATATATACAATGGTGCCGAGAAGCTAATACAGAGGTTCTGACAACAGTAAGAATATTATTTTTTTTCAAAAACAATGCACATGGCTGAACACACAGGAACAGATATCGACGACAACGATCATAAATTTGAATCTTTTCAACCGATTGAAGAATTAGACATTCACGCTCCGATCGTCGGCTACGAAGTTGTGGAAGCAAGAAAACGATTTACGGTGTACCAGATCTTTGTGCAACTGGCAGGAGAGCGAAGCTGGCATGTTTTCCGACGATATTCCGACTTCGTTCGCTTGGACGAAGGATTGAGAAAGCTCTTCAACGATTTTCACGGCATCCTTCCACCTAAAAAGTATTTTGGGGACAATTTTGATCCTGCTTTCATCGAAATGAGAAAGCAAGGACTTCAAGAGTACATCGACAACGTTATCATAAGACAAGACGTTATATCAGCACGGCCGGCTGTGGAGTTCTTTTGCTTCGACGATCCACCCGGACCGCACGATAGCCTTGAAGAAAGTAGAGCGTTCATTGAAACGTTAGAAGACACAGTGAATGAGATGAGGAACAGACATCAGGAACTAGCGTCGGAGATCAGGCTGGTGAAGTCCCAGCTTCGCCAGTCTCAAGCACAGAAGCAAGCGCTTTTGATTGCATTGCGGTCCGAGCGCGTGTTGAATGGAAAACCATCGCACGACGACGACGATTTTCAACTTCTGTCTGAGTATGCCAGACTGCCAGAGGTGGCACAACTTGATTTCAAACTTTTCTCGAGGAGTAATTTAAGAATTAACGAGGAAACCTCGCGGCAAACGCATCGTTTGAGATCCAACCGGTTTCCAACTTCCACAGCAGCTAGTCAATGGGATCTTCGAGTTGAGACGGCTGAGGGATTGGCTAAGCGAACGCCACCTTTACAAGGTAGAAGGACACGTTCTACCTCAGATCTGTCACATTCAAGAAATCATAGAAAGCGAAATCTGACCCATTTGCCTTCAAACTCAGGCAGCCGTGGAGATTTGACGTTATTAGACAAATTTATGACCCAAAGCACGGAGGCACTGCAATTTATAAGAAACAGTGTTCGACAGAGATTAGGTTCAGGTACGCAACCCACCACGGCGGCTGATGAATAAAACGGAATCATGTGGTTTTTAAGTTTTTGTTCCTACAGTTTAATGTTACCCTTCAATTTTGCAGTCAAGCGAAAACGAAGGACAAACAAATGGAAACTCTTCCTTCCAGGTTTTACTGAACAAATGCTTTGCGAGAACTACAATATAATAAATTGCTGATATTGGCTTATGGCATACGCAATTTGATGAAAATACATCCACCGTAATATTGAGGAGAAAAACCGCAAAAGTTATACTTCAAATGAAAAGAAAGTACAAAACATTACAGTCAGAAATTTAATACTTGCATGCGAAATAAAGCTCACATTCATGTTGCAAGGGTGTCACAAATGCCAATGAATTAAAAATTAAGCATCTTTTCGAGAGAAACAAGAATCTTCCACCAATTTCGAAGTGATGCTAAGCTCTCTTTCTAGAACTATCAAAGTACACGACACTTTGGCATAAATGGTATTCCACAGCTTCAGATCTCCGTGCAAACTAAGAAAGATTGAATATTTTCGTGCCAACTCGGTAAATAAAAAAAGGACTAAACCAGACGAACGTTTAACATATCAAGGGAGGGAAGAGTTTGTACCTGCTGTTAATATTGTATATTAATCATGCCAAGAACCGCCTACCATTAAAATGTACTCTTTCCAAAACTAAAACTCTGATTAAAAAGGGTCTTCTCGAAAGCTAGAAGTTTTTTTTTTTTTTGCTTAAGAAGTCAGGTGTACACAAAGAATTTGGAATAAGGCAATATCTGAATTGCTTGCTTCTACAATATAACGTGGCAACGACTCATTGGAAATATGAATTAATTACTTTAAAACAATAGATAATAACTCCGTTCAGATGAATTGGCCTGCGGGGACAAACAAGATGAATAAAAATACAGTTCTACATTATTATTGCGCCGCAAGAAATTAAAACATTTCACAAAATACTCCAGCTGAGAGACCTTACATTGGGACAATTGTTGTGTTTTTGTGGTCAAAAAATATCAAATAAATCTGGTTGATTTTGAAGGGAAGTAATAATGAATAAATACACAAAAAAAGGTAGAGCTGTTAAGAACGGGCGTGAAAAGGTCATGTTTGTGAGTTTTGAATTTGAGTGAGTTTTGAATTTCATTAAATCTAACAACAGACTTTGCTATGAATAGTACCTAGATCTTCTGAGACTTGTTAAACATGTATTTGTACAGGTTACGAATGAATTAAGCGTTAATACCTAAGGATTTTTTTTCGGTGAACCCTTTGACTTCTAAATAGGTCAATTTCGATATATTAAAGTTCTACCTTGGCTATATTGATTCTGTAGACTCTCCTAGGTTAATTATCGTCGAAAATTTCTTTTAATACTAAAATGCACGTGCGGAGAGTTCAGTGGTAGTGTATCAAGAAAAAACATTCCCCACTCGCTAATTTTCGGCGATATTCTTATTACGTCTCTGCTTGACTGTGCATTGTTATTAGATATTGGTCAAAATAAGAAGTTAAACAGGTTAATTAAACATAACCCAGCGAACAGGCGAAAAAAAATTATTTTGTTTATTATTTTTTCCTCCCTCCAAAGGTGACAAAAAACACAAAAGAACTAGTGGTCACAGATACGAAAATGTTATACGTAGAGAGGACACCCAAAATTTATGATACCACAGGACTCACTAGTAAAGTTTACGGTCTTACCAAATGAATAACACATTTTCCACAAAAGATACCCATGCAGATCTTATTGAAACCAATTATTCTCGTGTGCATGGGCGCGTAAATAAGACCTAAATTTCTCGTATTTAGGACTACTCGTACTATTGTAAAACAAACACTATTTTTATATAAAAAATATTAACTCACTTGGCAATTCATCTGGAAATGTGCTTTTTGAAAGTCTCGCTTTCAGGACCACAAATGTGAGTCTGTTGGTGGTAGGGAGATAGCACAGTGACACCAACACCTCCCCTACACGGGTTGGACTATCCTCCTAAAACAACGAGATGGAAAAAACATTCACAACAATGAGACAGAAACGTTAACACAGTCTGCATACAATTAAGGAACCGGTGGTGGAAGTTCATTTAGACATGAATGCTATGTTTACTAAGCAATAAAATTTGGCCACGTACAAAAATTACCTTTTAAATTTAAGGCAACCTGAAAATAGTAGTTGGCTAAGATCGAAAAACACCAGATACAAGTAGATAATAATAAATCATAAAGGTTAAGGATGAGGAAGTTAAAATTTAGGCTAAACTTTTCAAGACGCACAAACCAGGAGGTAGCTCCTTCAAAATCAGTTTCTGAAAGTTAAATTTGTGATTTACACGAATCAGGCAAAACAGCAAACAAGCTGATCATGTTACAACTATTAAATTTTACAGCGAAACAAAACAGCATTACTTTCTGCCCAAACATTTTCATCGACCAGCAAGGGTAGCTTACAAGTGTTGTAAAAACTTAAAAATTAGAATGTTCTCGAATTAAAGAGATCAACCTGTTCAGACCTCAAATAAAATGATAAACAAGCAGTTGGAATTATTTACAAAACTGACCTTCATCAAAAACACATCTCTCTTGATATCCTTACACAGTGATACACCTGAATACTCAGTCAATTGATCATCCTCGTCAAATGAGTAAAAAACTTCCCCAATGGACTGATGCCGAGAAAATCCGTCGTAACTATACACACAGCATTGCAAGGTACGCTCCGGCAACTCCGAAAATCCAATATCAAACTGGAATTCTTCATTGTAAACAGGACTGCAGTTAGAATAATGAATTTTTGTCTGGTGTTTTTCCACTCTCTCCGGTAACAGGTACAATTCCACGTAACTCGTGCTGTGAATTGACGGTAGATTGTGCGCGGCCACTACCGTCACTCGCAGACACTCTGTCTCTGTATCATAACTGATGTTAAATTCGAGTTTTCCTAAGTTTAGACTTGGCTCGGTGCTGCTGTCTGATTCAGACGAGGTCAGATTGTTGTTTCTCAGCCAAGAATTATCGAAGTCGATCTCAGACGCAGAGCTGTCGGATCTCATCAGAGGTTGGTGCCTGCGTTGCTGGCGGGTCCGCCGAAAATCTTGTTCCGTCACACTTGGCGCGCGTCCCTGTACGACGGCCTTGGCTGGCGGTTTGCTCGTACCATTGCTATTGGATCGAAACCACAACACCTTGTACAACAACAATATGAAGATTCCTAGTAAGAGCACAGCGCAAGCGATGGCAAAGCCAATGGCAATCTTAACCTTGACTTTGTCTCCTAAAAGAAAAAACAACTGTTTGTTAATTTCTTGTAACCTAGAAATCAAGTGGTTAAATTAAGTACAGCTACCTCTTTCACATTCAAATAAGAGTTGATGCAGTCGCGAGGGCGATGTGATGTCATGGCTGAGGGTTTTGGCGGGTTGGCTTGGTTCAATCACATCTAATGATAATCGAGCGACCATTGATGACATAAGCCCGCATTCCCGCGCTCGGACGCGCGCTCGGATAGTTTAGTGACCCACACAAGCTCGTGTTCAACCCAGCATATCAACAATATGTCTGACTCGACCGACCCTACTGAACATGAAAGGCGCAATTCAAACAGTCTTGTAACAAACGATCCGTAAAGAAGCCAATACTTTTGTCGAGGCGAGAACTGGATTATCTCTCAACAATAGAAGCAGAACACAATGCTAGCGTTGCACGCTTTATTTAGCGGTAAAATATTGCTCGAAGACGCGTAACAAGGACGCCTAACGGCTAGCTTTCTCGTCTGATGTGACTATATTGAACATAAGTTCACCAACAAAACAGGAGACAAAACTATTTCGAAATCACATATAATTCACAAAACTATTCTACAATCGCCTATGATGTAACGTTTGTATAGATTATTGTCTTTCATACAAAAATGTCCATTATTGTCCATGATTATAATTAAAACTGTTTACCGACGCCGAATTTTAATTTAAATATTAATTAACGTCATTTACATAATTACATTCTGACACAAACTCGAACGTAAATCTTGTTGACCCTTATTTCTCATCACAATACCAACACATAATCAACTTTCAAAAATTTATCTATTTAAACTCAGCTCACATAACTATAGATATTACTATATGGTTAAATCAACACATTAAAATAAAGAATATATTTAACAAATCGAATGTTGTTTAGCGTTGCCTGTACTCTTATCGACAACGCTATGCGTCATCACAGTGGTCAAAATGTTGTGGACTCACGAGGCGCAGTCACTGTGATGACGCATATCGTTGTCAATAAGAGTACAGACAACGCTAAACCACATTCGATTCGTTTTTTACCACAATATCAACGTCGAAGATAATGTATTTTTTCAGAGCGTGACCAAGAGCGCGACACATTGACGCGAGCAGCGTTGTTTGGACTCTTATCGACAACGACAAATTAGTCATTTAGATTGCGAGATTAGCAGCAATTGTGGTAAAAGTAGTAATGTCTCAATAGTGAGTGAATATCAGGCAAACAGATGAGGAGAACAAATAAATCGTTAACCAAGAGCCACTGTCTTGACTTCCCACCAAATTCTCAAAAACTGTTAGCTGTCAGTAACAAGAATTGACATTTTGAACTTGCGCCTCAAAGAGTTAATGCACCTGTGCAAAAGTGCTTCGTACTATTTCCTCGTTCTGACCAACTAATGGCAAAAGCAAATTATACTCTCGTTTTCCTGACGGGAGGTTTTATGTCAACAAACTGACCTAGGCAAGCAACACTCATGCAAAAAAAAGAAAAAAATTATTGATAGTAACCACGTTAAAGGAACTAGTTTTAAACTCATTTAACTAAGTTGTACTGTGAACTTGGTTTTGATCCGGTTCCAAAACACTTACCACCAACAACACACAGAAAGCTCAATTTATATTACTCAGCAGAGTTGCGCTATTCGCAAGGCAAGAGAAGCATTTCTGATCTCCAAGGACAAGACCCATAAACCTTCTGGGTCAAACAGGCGTGACGAAATTTAATCTATTTATTTTTTATGTATCCGCTTTAGTACACGATTCATTTTCCTCTATTTTTGTCAACCAATCATGTCACATATTTCCTTAGGTATCATTTAAAATTTTGAAACCGTTTTATCCATATCTACTTCGCTTCAGTGTCGTCCCTGAAGAAGGTTAGTCCTGTCTAACCGAAATATTGGGCATTAAATTTACACTTTTCAGCCGTCCGGTTAATCGAGGTGGCAAGTGGGGTGGGGGACAAAATATAAAGAAACTTTAAGGCAAGCAGTCTCTTTGAAAATCGAAATAGATTTCACACCCAAAGGGCAATGGGAAGGAGGAGAGTGTGATCTGCATTAAATATTCTACGTTCATGTCAGTGGCTTTCAGACGATTACAGATTATCATAATTATGCAGTTTTTCTTCCCCTAAGACCTCTTTTCTCTGAAGGACGACGGCGGAAGGCGCGGGAGACAAGACAACTTAACAAGCACGCGCGTTTTAGGAAACTCCGTCTGCCGCACTCTATTCTCAATTTCTTGCTTAAAAACAGTCACCCTCAAATTCCAACGGTTATCACGACATCGTAGAGAAAGACATATTTAAGGAAAAACAATCAAAGGCCAGTGTTTTTTTTTCTGCTTGTGACTGCATTCGAGAAGCAGGGAGAAGTATCGAGGTTAGAAAAGGTGATTTTCCTCGTTACGTGAAACTACTGTTATTCTCGTAAATATCATGAAAAATGGCGAATTCAGAAAGTATTTAAAGTTGTTGATTTAAACCAAGCGTAACTTCAGTCTTATCAAGAACACGCACAAAAGCAACCAAATTTCCCATTCTGTGAAAAGTATATGCGTATACTCTGCACTTTGCAATCTTAAACTGAGAACCTGTTGTTCATGTTGCTTCCTCTCAGAGTCTATCTAACGATAAAGAACTTTGTGCCCAAAGATAACCTTCTAGAAGGAATTAGATTATACTTTTGAATATAGATTTTAAAAGCTCCTTTGTCCTTTTGCTAATTCAAAGAAACAAAGCCGTTCATCTCACTTGAAAATCTTCAAAACTGAAATGGCTAGCCAACCATTAACAGTTCTTAAACGACTTCTCTGTCTGTCAAAACTTTGAACGTAACCTTAATCTCCCTGTCTACAACTTTGTATTTGTTAAAAGGGATGAAAAGCCACCAGTTCAAGCTGGTCGTTATGGTTGGTCCAAAGTGGGTATTAAACAATGGGGATTATGGTTGAAAGCACGAAAATCACACAGATTACATATGCATGAATCCTGGAGAGCGGCTGATAAATAATTAAATCAACGTGCCTCCCACAAGTTTTAAGGGTGTTAACTTTCAAACATAGCTGATTGTACACTTGCCGTCCTTGCTTTGGCAAAGAGAAAAATTCACTGTTTCCTTCCACTCGAATGAACTGACACCTCACAACTTCAGTTTGCTTTGAAACAAAATTAATTCAACTCTAAACAAAGTTATTTTAATAGGTTTGAAGTTTCCGTAATTGACGATCGATATGTTGATTCGCGGTAATACCTTTCTGTGGTTTGTACACGAGGTTTAACACCCTAACCTAACTGGTGACAGAAGCAGAAAATTGCCCGACGATATCAACAAGTCCATACAGGCGATCAAGTTTGTCCTATGAGAACAACTGACAAATACCACGTATGCTAAGTTGAAGTCTCCTCGCTGTGAAACTTTCCGCTTTTGGTGCTCTTAAACAAAGAAAATGTCTTCTTACGTGAAACTCACTGAAAGGCTGAGAAGACATCAGAAACGTTTTTGGGTAGTTTACGTGACGGAAAGTCTGAGCGAAAATACCCAGTCTTGAAAACATGCAAGAAATAAATCATGTAATCTTTACTTGAAGTTCCTCTACTTTGTAAACAAATTACGAAACTCGCTGATTCTAGGTCAAACTTACCCGACCCAGTATTGAATTCCCCGGAGCCATCGTCGTTGGTGAAATAATCCAAAACCCTGCGATATTTGTCGATGTCGTCGGTTTCTTTCATCGAGTCTCCTCACCTACGATGCAAATCTTCCAAAGTTGCGGTAATCATTTGTCGAACGTACCGTTTTATATTCCAAATAAAACCTTGATCAACCGCCACATTAGGAGTTCTTGGCTGATCCTGAAACACAGAGAGGCGCGTGTGAACACAGTACAGGAAGTAAGCCAAGCAGAAGTCTAGCCCTCAAAACTTGTTCACTGTTCGGCGTGTAATTCCTCTAGGGTTTGTATTCATGTCTTGAGCTCACTCGTCGCCGCTTTACCGTGCATGAGTTGACCTGAACAAAGAAATCGTCAAGTCCTTTCAGCAACATGAATAAACATGTGCTGCCTTTGTGGTTGCAAATGGATCAATCTCATGAGCGACAGCTACCTGCTCGGTTGAATGGGTCTGAAACAAAACTCCCTTCCAATAAAACAAAAAAATAGCACGCACTGAGTACATCTGTTGAGCTGCTGTTCTCAAAACTCCAAAAAGCTCCAAAACTTTTTCTACAAAGGGACAAAAAGAAGTTTAAAGTTAGGTTAAAAATAGTTTGCAGTTAAATAAAATTAAGGTTAGGACTTTGGTAAGATGTTAGTTTAACCCGCTGATATCTACGAACTTTGGTAAAACTTTCTATAAACGTTTAACTCCCCGGCCACTACAAAGAAAGTTGTAGTCAAGGAAACAGAGTTTATATTGCACAAAAATGCGACAGTAAGTGAATAACACTATCATCAATCCACACTCAGTGACTCATTCATTCAGATCTTTCCACATTCGATGGCAGAGATGTCTTCGCTCCAATGCTGGGCCACATATGAACAATGATATGCAAATGTACACTTTGTCCTGACTTTGTCATACTAATCAGCCACAATTTGTTTGATTAGTACAAATTAAACTTCACATGTGTTCAGGGAATGAAAGAATGCTTCAAGGTCTTTCCCAGACAGAAAGGCAATTGGACAAGATGAAAGACAGATTTAGTCCCACTAAAATTATCAAATACGACATTAAGAAGCATTATGAAATTTATACGGAACGGCACGGAACGAAAGATTACTATAACACATTCAAATGTTCTCAAAAGACGTTTGATTTGAGGTTTCCCGCGATTAAACGTAACTGTGTATACCGTTAAAAATGCCTACTATCCATAGTTTACGAAACCGTTTTTTCGAGTTTCTCGCCAGGGGGGAGGGGAGTATTCCCTATGATGGCCACGCAACACGGGGAGGCTCTAGCCATATGGGGTACCTTTTTCAGGCTTCAGGTGTATAAAAGGGTAGAGCTTCACAAGTTGAGGTACATGAAAGGGTGGGGAAAGCTGTCATCTTGATTCCTACCACAACGTGAGCTGAATAAATAATACTTGTTCGTTTGGTTAACATCTCCTCTGGTAATGCTTGATGTTCTCCTGCAATACTGTTCATTAACTTCATTCCAACGGCTTAGAAAAGGGTACCTTTTTTAATAAAAGGTATGCGAAAGGGGTACCCTATCTGTCAAAATGGTATACAAAATGATAAGGGTTTGGTCCTCGGGGCAAGGCCTTCCCGTATAAAATTTTTTACAGCACCCCCCCACCGGGGGAGGTTTCCCGACAATAAACGGAATGGACAATCATTGAACAAAAACCGGAAACGGAAATACGAAGCTTATTTTCTGTTTCGGAAATATCAAGGAAACGGCAACGAAATAGTTCTTTATTCAGTTTGTTAGAGGAAACCTGTAATAAATTCTGAGAAAACAGACGATGCGCGCCTGAAGAATAGAATAGTAACATAGTAGCACATAATTGAGAGTAAAGCCGTAATGATAAATTAAACCGGTACAAGGATAAGTCTAAGATGGATCACAAAGCAGCTAGCTATACCCTTGAAACAGGCTCAATATCTGAGATTAGCTGAGTAGTCAAATTTGTTAATAATTGGTTTTATCATTCGAAGCATTTTTTCTTCCTTTTCATCGACCAAGAGCCCACCACGTGACCTGCAAATAACTGCCTACGAAGAATGGTCTTCTCATGCGTACTACCATCTAAATGTGTTTTTGCTACAAATAATATTCTGCTCATGCTTATTGGTAGCCATGCTCAAGCGCGAAAAATGGTAGATCGCTTCCCTGTACTGTCAGAGAGTGATTTAAGTGAGAAAAAAAAACTTGGTAATCGAATGGTTAAGTCTGTTATCGCAAAATATCATAATTTTGTCAGTGTCTCGCAAATCAACTATTTGCCGAAGCCGAAGGCTGAGGCAAAGAATTGATCTGCGCCTCACTGACAAATCACAATATTTTGCTGGACCTCGTCCAATAATTGTTAATTATTTTAGTTTTACGACACTCAATTGAAATCCGCTCTATTTTCATAAAGCTTTCTTCTCAGTATTTGCAAATGCCTTAGCTTACCAGCTCCAAAGCTCCGTAGCCTTCGTAACTGGCTTTTTTAAGGTGGTATGGTACCCTCAAATGGACCAAAAAGTTTGTTTAAATATGGTTAAGAAAGATCAATTGTGTGCCATTGCACTCAAGAAGAGAAATTAAATTTCTAGAGTTTTACTCAAAATGGTTGCTATGGAAACCAGCCACAGCCTTTTG